CACTTTTGCTTTCTTCCCGACAGAAACTAATCTCCCTTCTGAACATCTATGGTAAAAGAAACTGAGTAACAGGCTGTGAAACTGCTTAGAAGATAGAGAATATCTACAAAAATACAGAAAATATCTACAAAAGGACTGTTCTATCATTGGATGCATTTCTTGTCTCGTTAATTTACTGAGGGTCTGCCCATTACATTCTTTCCCTTGCCAACCCATAAGAAAACACACAGATGCTTAAAAAGGAAGTGTCTCTTCATAGAATCATTTCTAATTTTAATATGTTAGTTTCTATTTGATAAAGTAGATGTTCCTAACAGCACGTAGAAATGTTTAAAAATATTGTTGACTGTGCAGTACATTTGAGCTTGCACTTGAACAACCTTGCACAAAAAGAAGTTAACATTGTTTTGGATAATGCAAGTTTCCTAATTCTAGTAACTTTTTCTAAATTTAAACATGAACAATATTTAAATACAACAGAAATGATCTCATTTTCATTTCTGTTTTGGCCATGCTCAATTCTTAAGTTCTAATCCTGCAGTCTCAAACACACCCTTAAATAACCTACTGGACTCCTCAGCGGGTTAAGGTGAGCACACATATAAGTTTGAGTATTTGCAGCAGAACGTTAATTTTGACTTAAACTGTCATCACATCTAATATAGACAAGAAATGCAAGTGTACTTTATGACCACATATGTTGCCATACAAAGACATCCTCTGGATATGACTTTGGTCTATATACTGCATTGAAATACAGTATAGAGAGGAAGCAGACCAGGAATCCCAGTTTAGAAGGGCTTTTGGGTAACCCTCCATTTATGGAATTTACATAAAATGTTGTAAAAATTTAAAATTTATTTCATTAAAAATTTATAAAATAACAAAACTAATGTATTTTGAAAAAAATATCAAAATTCTACGAAACCTGTGAAGGCTTTTTCCATCTATAATTACCATCTGAATATTCAACATTTGACATCAAATGCCTACTGAAAATGAATATTTGAGTCAGTTTTTTTGGACTATGTGGATGCTGTATGCCAACTTCTAAAGCAACACGAAACTCCTCATTCAGAGTCCAAAAAAATGGAGGAAGACCCTAAAAATGTAGCAGAAGCATTTCCGCACACTGATTTCAGTAGTCAAGTTTGTGCAGAAGTGATTCCACTAGATTCATAGGGCACCTTTTTGAGGCAACAGAAACTTCTCACTTCATAAGCTTTTTGACATCTTCCAGCTCTTCTATAGGCTGCCATTTCTGTTTGATTGTTAACAGCTGGAAGAAATGGAAAATATGAAAGTTAGCAAAATCCCAGTGGGCATTTACTCCACTCCCACACCCCCAAGTCATACATCAGCCTAGTGGTGAAGAATTTCTAGTAGCTTTACATTTTTCTTTCAGAGGTATGCAAAAATAGCAACTGATGACATATATAATAATTTGTTGAACAAAATAATTTGGATATTACATAGATAATAATGCCAAAGAATTTTATTTTTCCTTATAGTAGATGCTCTACTAAATAAAGATATTTTTCCTCCAGGCTGCAGTACCCAAATACTCTTAGTCAATTTTGTAATTCAGGAACAAGGGGAAACAGCCTTCCTCTGTGCTCCAAATTTCCACTGTTAGCAATGGAATTGAGTAAATGGACATTGGTGGTGGGAACAGACACAGCACAGCAACTAGAAGAGTACCATAAGTTCAGGATCAGACCTACAGTGTAATAGCTGTATAGTCCCTATCATTAGGTAATACAGGGAAGATATAAAGTAATGAACTAAAATTTTGTTTCCACTATTAATTAGATATACATCAGCTTTACCTGTGTTTCCTCATTAATATTTTGCTAGTTCTTACACATTAAAACAAGTACTCACTGTTTTGGAAATATATGCTATTTATATTGACTATATTACATGTACAAATTACCTTCTGAGGCTTGGTAGGATCAATATTTTCCCAGGGTTCTGGATTGCCACTCTTGTTAATCCTTTAAAAGAAGATAAAACAAGACAGGTACTATGTTTTAAAGTGTGTTCTTCTGTACATTTTTCTTATATGAGCAGCCTATCATCAGCAGAGCTATTCACTTAAGGAAGGAGCCAACACTCTTCATGTATCGTGTCATTGAAAGGGAAGCAAGAGGAAAAATCAAAACTGAGTAAGGACACAAAGTAAGGGGACTCTGACAGCTAAAATGCCTATTGCAATCACTTTAAAGTAAATAAATAAACTCTCCAATGCTTGAAAAGTATAGGACTTAATTCCAATTATTAGCCAAGCCATTAGAATACTCTCTCAAGTTAATATTATCAAGTGCTGCTCTCCATATACAAGTTAATAGTCTGGTTGCAACATATCTGCAATCTCATCTACCTATCTGATTATTTGAAATTCTTGATAAGAGCATTTAAAACTTGTTACACCTAAAGCAAAGAAAAAATATTAAATAAAAAATTAGGAAATAATTTGGACTACGGTCCAAATTAATTAATTTCTTTGCTATTTACTATCTGCAGATATTTCAGTTGTTACCAGTAGTCTGGCACATGAACATTTTTTTTTTTTGAAGTAAAACATGATGGTTTAATACTTGTGTCGAATACAGAAAGCTTAGGGTGAGCACCAAACAAGAAGTATTTTGCTTACATCACATCAGATTTGCCGATTAGGGAATAGACACTAAAAGAGAACGCCCCGATTGCTGCCATGGACAGTATTCCAGCCAGGGGAATGAGCTGAAAGACAAAACGGAGAAAGAGCTGAAGTGGTGTCCCAGCTGAGAGCCTCGACTGGGGGAGCAGGGGTTATACAGCACTCAGGTGGGATTAGCTGTTAGTGTATATCACACCTCTGTATTGCTCTTTACACCACCTCACTTCTAACACGGGTCCCTCGCTCTCTCCATTTCCCCGGGAAGGTGCTCGCTATCCAGAGGCAGCCCCGGCGCACCTGCCCGCGCCAGCCGCATCCCTCCCCGCGGGCGGGCACCACGGCCCCGGCCTCCGGGAAAACTTACTTCTCTTTTTGTTTTAAGTGTTTGGAAGATGCTCCTGTTCATCGTGGCGGCGGCTGCAGACCTGGCACAAGCGGTTCGTGTTTCCGCACCCCAGGGGAGAGGGGCAGGACGGCACCGGGCTGCGGGGACGGGCACTCCCCGCGCTAAACACGCACCGCGTTATATACGCACCGCACCGCGCCCCGGGGAGCGGAGGCGGGACAGGACTGGACAGGACGGGACGGGCCAGCAGTGCCACCCCCCGGCCCGCGGCGGTAGGCGCAGGGGAGCGACCTGAGGAGCTCCCGGCCCCAAAGGGAGCTGCCAGGAGACCGGGATGCTGTGCGTGCTCTTCCCGCCTTCCTCCCGCAACTCCTTCTCTCTCCGTTACTGCAGCACTCAAACCTTTCTTCTCCATTTCTCCTTTGTCTTCTTGTCTGTCCCCTTCTCGAGGCAGCTGCCCAAAGAACAGCATATCCAGGCAAATGCCCAGGTGAGGCCAGGGTCTGCCCCTTCCAGAGCTCAGAGAGGTGCCTATAGCGACCCAAAGAGGACCCCAATGTCACCGTGTCACCTTTTGCTGCAGCAAAAGCTTAACCCAGGCCCAGGTTCCCATCACTCTACTCTTCCCAATATCCCTGTCTGAGAAAAACTCCTACCAGGGGCAGGCTGGAGGTGAATGGTGCCAGCAGATGACTCCTGTTACACTTCTCCCCTTCTCTCTTGCCCACTGGAAAGCAGTGAGAGGAAGAAAAGGCTGCCTTTCCTCCATGCTCTGCTGGTTCCCTGCAGCAAGGAACAGACACGACAGGGCACAAGTGGCTCTGTTGGTCCCTCTAGGGAGCAAGTATGGAAGTTGAGCAGCAGGGTCTTTGAGGCAAAGGACCTGGCAGCATTTTGCTGTCACAACAACTGTCAGGTCTGGCAATTCTAATACAAACCCTCAAACACTGGGAAGCAAACCAGAATTACCTAGAAGGGTTTAACACTTTTCTCAGCACTGCTGCTGAGAAACCTTTGGGTGTTTGGGAAGTTCACAAGCATTGCTAGGTTGTTGCCAGCAATAAAGCAATAAGGACAGTCCTTTCCATAAAATGGTGAACAAAGCCACCCAGCTAAACCCTTTCCTAGGTTACAATGGCTTCTACTACGGCCTTTGGCCCTCCACAATCACCAACAGCCTTGGAACTGCCTTTTGTGATCCATCTCACTATAAACCACACTCAGTGCAGTCCCTACTGTCCCTGTTACAAGAAAGAAATATTTGTTAATGGGTTTATAACTCATGAACCTCAGCTGAAATAATGAACTATCTTTGAGAGTGGTGTATTTAGCTCACAAATATTTACATTGGGAAAAGGAAAATAGAATAAAAAATAATAAAACCCCTCCTACTCTAGAAAGTTAAAATGCACACTTACACATAGCACCAGTTTCCTTGGATATAACTGTATTTTAGAAGGTGACTTACAAAAATATACTGACAAAGAATGGTTGGGTGAGGAAAAGAATTTTGCACAAATTGTTATAAAGCAAACTACCTTCTCTCAAGAAATTATTACAGTTTGATTGCATACTTCTTACCTGCTTACTCAATCCAAATGTTTGTACAGTAAGCAGTAACTGACCTAAAATTACTTCTAAAACTCCAGACTTCCAAACCTGCAACAAGGAGCTGCAAGCACTGACAACCTTTTCACTGCCACTATATTTTGGAATCTACTTGTAAGAAAGTAAGCCTGTGAATAGGTACATATAAAACACTTCACATTTTATACAGAATGGGACTTACTTCCTCCTATTTAACATGTGAAAGCTTTTCTACTTTTTAAATATTCACTGTTCTATGAAGACTTCTCAACACATTATAAATTAAATACTCTTGTTATGCCAGTGCTTATATTGAAAACTGGGAAATCTACAGTAACACTAAGCTATTCCACAGTGCTTTATCTAAGTAACTCAATTACTTGCTTCATCAGATGTAAACCTATCCAAAGCAAACAAGATTTTAATTTATTATTCATTATCGAAATTACAGACCTTTGACAAGTGAAACCTCACTGTATTTCATACACCCTGAAACCTACAGTGAGTACAGTATTAAAAAGCAGGAAAGATGTAAGCATTTTCAAAATCTTTGCAATATATTTAAAAATACCTATGCCACTCCTTTTTGATTCAAGAGGCTAATTCTTGATTATAAAATTTTTCATAAAATTCCAAGTCTTTTCTGTTTAAGGATGGTTTTACAGTCTTCAATGATTTCACAAAATGCTCGTGTTTTACAGCAGTTGCTTCAAGTCCATTCTCTTGCAAAGCCAACAAAGCAGCCTTTAAAAGAAAAAAAAATTAACAACTTGAAGTGCTTATCATGTTTTAAATTGCAATGAATCTATTGCAAGTATTCTAAAATATCTTAAAAGGAACAAAGTCTTAGCTATAGCATCTGAAAACAGCAATGTATAATTTATTGTTATTTAACAACAGATAAACATCAAATAAGGTCACTACAACTTCATTAACTTTTTCTGTCTGGATTAGACAATATATCCTTGATCACTTATATATTTGGATTTTCTTCCTAGTCTTCTCTCTTTTATACAACTCTTCTTTAATTCTGGATTTCTCTTAGTTTTTTTTCTCTCTGGTCTTGACAGTACATGCTAATTTCAGCTAAAAATGCAGCAGTTCCCTGCAGTACACAGAGTACAATTCACCCAGATGTGAGCATGGATTAGAGGGAACCACAAGAAATAAAGAGTAGTACAGTTTCTTAACTTCTACTAAATTATCACAGAAAGATTTCATTCTCATTTGGCTTTTTTATTTAAAGAATTAACCCTTGTTCAGTTCTCCTGTTTCACTCTTCTCTTTATATTTTCAATACAAACCGTGACAGAATCTGTACTACTGATGGCTTGGTAACATCTATGGGTTAGCTCTCCTTTTTCATGGAAAGTTTTCATTTACAGTTTATTTCACAGATGAGCTGGGAATATTTCTTACCTCCTTGCACAGATTTTCAATATCAGCTCCAGAGAACAGGTCTGTTAGGGTTGCCACATCTTGTAGTGACACATCAGTATCCAGTGGAATTTTTTCAGTGCAGATTTTCAAAATGGAAAGTCTTCCCTGTAAATTGGTGTATATTGTAGAAGAAAACAAAACCAAACGAACCAAAAATTAATCCTTCTCCAAAGCAGTTACGAATTTGAAATTAGAACCAAGGAAAATCCAGAAGAATAGCAAAATTACCTGGTTTCAGTGGAAGAATAAAACACTATTAATGGATATAATACCTACTCTTAAAGTTATCTCATATTTTAAAGTCTGTTATTCACAGTTACTCATTACTTCATGAAAACACAGTATTTTAGATTGAAGAGTCCATATTTGGCCTGTTTTGGGTCAACTTTCCATGTGAAGCTCAGGACAAGTAGCTACACTACCCTTGGGAACAGGGTACAAAAATTATTTGAAGCAAGGACAGACAACTTGTTATGGGTATCTCCTAAACTGTAGCTTGATTTTGTAAACACAGATTTTCTCTAATTTCTCTAGGCAATACTATAACTACATGCACCAATTAAAATGTTACAGGTGCTTAAAATACAAGTGTCTTTATTCCTTTTTAAATTTCTTCATTATACCTTGAGTTTGGTGACTGATCTTCAGTGAATCATCCATCGTTAAATATATTACAGGAATATGCCCCCTTTGCTCTTAAAGTCTGTTGGCAATTAATATCTCTACCTTTAAAGCCACGTAAGGATGTGTAATAAATACATCACCTTCAGATCTGGAGGTGGAATATAGATCACCTTGTCCAACCTTCCAGGACGCAATAAGGCATCATCCAACATATCTGGTCTATTTGTTGCAGCAACTACCATGAAATCTTTGTTCAAAGTTTCCTGAAACTCTAGCTGAGTAAGAGATCAGACAAACAAATCAGTGCAACACGGTTAAGAGAGATAATACCTAAAGATTTGTTAAGAACTAATGAGAAGAAGGGAAGGGCAGAAAGATGATGTACCTTTACATGTAGTTATTTTCCTTTCAATATTAATATTTAATTTTTCTTGAAGTAAAAAAATGCCTTGGTGCAGGCCAGATTACATGACAAAGAGGAAATATAGTTAGTATCTGCCTTGACAATAAACAGAGACTTTTCTTTGGCCAGACTGCAACAAAAAATCTTTTATATGCAAAAATTCAGTATGCTACAATTCTGAAACTCTTTTCTTTAATATTCCCCCAAAGAGTATCATAAGAAGAAGAAATTTAAATACAAAAAAGCTAAATACTAACCATTGTGAACCATTCACCAAAAAGTGAAGGTACAACTTTTTGTTTCAGTAAGTAACTGATCAGAAGTGTGCTGCTTTTGTATGCAGTATGTCTGAGAAAGAACTACAAATGAAGTAGGGGAAATGCTTATAAAAAGTAAGTTCAGGGAGGAACTTGAATAAGAGTAAAAATAGCACCATCAGTCTAAAAAATTACTATAGTGTCAAGAAGAGGATTTTTGTGACAGAAGATGAACACCAATTAGTAATGCTCATTAGCCTGTGTGGGTATTTTGTTCAAACAAAGTCTCCTCGAGGAACAGTGTACATAAAAACAGTCAGCAGCCTATATACAGTATTTTCTAAGAACTAGAAATTATGGCAGAGTAAAAGAGCATCTTGCATATTTTTAAGCTTGAGGATTTTAAGTTTAAAAAGTGTGAATGCCAGCAAGTAAAATTTTTGGAACAACTGGACAGCATTTATCATTCTTCTTCTACAGAAAAGGGAGCATAAATACCTTTCTTTCCTCATCATCACTTTGTTCTTGGCACTGCCCCTCAAGCTGTAATTTGCCTCCTCTTCTTTCTGTAACTTTCAGCCCAACACCATCCAACTCATTGAGGAGAACAGACAGAACCCGCTCGGAGACCCCAGGGCCAGTTCTGCCGTGTGACCGAGATCCCAGGATAGTGTCAATCTCATCCAGGAATATTATTGCTGGAGTGTTTGCTCTTGCTTGGCGAAAAACCTTTTTAAAAAATGTTAATAAAGTCAAACATTAATGCATGCAGTCTATCAGGTAAGGTGAAAAAAGCCCAATTGCATATACTCTGTATTTTACTGAAGTTTAAAGGTACATTTATAACAACTCACAAGAGCTGTTCTGGCTTACGTTTACTATAGGCAAATTCTGCTTCTTATTTATATTCTTACATGAACCGAAAGCAAAAGAGTAGAAATACTTGTAAAGTTTAAAACTTCATAATTTTAGAGATAGATTCTCGCTTTTATATAAATGTGAATCTCTAAGCCATTTCTATTAAATAATCAGATGAGACCTCTATGATCTTTTCAATACCAAAACTCAGGTCTAACTAATACTTTACAAAAGTCAAGCAAAAATAAACCATAGGCCTTACACAAATTAAAAACTGTACCTGAGACAAAATCTTCTCTGAGTCTCCAACATAAGGTGAGAACAGGTCAGCACCACTTACAGAGAGAAAGGAACAGTGACAACTGGTGGCCACAGCCCTCACCAGCGTGGTTTTGGCACAGCCAGAAGGCCCATAGAGAAGGATACCCTTGGGATGGGACAGGCCCATCCGAGCAAATGCTTGAGGAAACTTCATAGGCCACTCAATACTCTGTCAATACATAAAAGAGGGATGAAATTCTTAGTAACAAGACTAGAGTTCATAGGCAATCAATAAAATCGCCAAGCACCTCGCTTCCTCTCCTTGATACAAACATTTATTTGAAATCAGGGAATACTGATTTAGTCTTTCTTCGTATAATTCCCCCTTCTTAAAGCTTCCATATGAAGCAGATGGAAGCAGACTAAAGGCAGTCACAGAGAGATGATACACAAGAGGCACCTCTGGCTAAATATTCAGGAATGCACAAATTATCTGGCTACAAGTTAAGTATTTTTCAGCTACTAAAAAACATGCATATTTTCCCATGATATTATTATGCTTGGTGTTACAAGATATTATTATCTTGTAACTGGAAGACCTCTAGCTCAAACATTGTAATAACTTAATGTAGCATAAAAATGTTTAAAATACAGTTTATAGTCAGGTAATTAGCAAGAGAATTAATTTTCATAATTAGCAGACAGAAAACCTTGGAGCATATGCTTATTAGAAATTAGCTGTTCATCTAAATTTGTTCTACATGTTACCTGTTTTAACTTTAATTTTACATCTTCAAGACCACCAATTTGCTCCCAAGTCACTGGTTTACACTCTGTTAGTCCAACTGCACTTCGAAAAGAGGATGGTTGAATTTTTTTAAAAGCTTCTTGGAAATCTCCCATGTTAATCATGGTTTCAGTTTCAGTTGACTCCTGAAAAAACCCAAAACAGATAAAGTATATTAACAATATTTTTAGGTAATACTTAAATGCTGCATTATATGCAAAACACTTCACGGAAGGCCAAATGCAACTAATAAAGAAGCCAATTCCTGCCCTAGTGAGCCTAAGTACTGCAGATGCAAAAATGCAACACAAAGTAAAATACATTCTCCTTAATGGCATGATTTTACACAAGAAAAATCTATTTTAACAGAAATTAATGTTTTGGAGAAAACTACTATTCCCTAAATTATAGCTCCAGCAGACAGTGATGTGCTAAATCAAATGGTTGCTAATTTGAGGGTTACCACACAATAAATCATACAATCTTCTGAATAGAAATAAAAAGGCTGCAACATCCATTTTCACCACACTGAAGAATGCAACACATTTTATCTCAAACATGCTATACAATAACATTATTAAACTACAGATGCAGTAACAGAACTAAGATGTATTTTACAAAGGCACTTGCAAATGGGCCATCTATTTATTCATTACTTTCATTTGTCCATCTATTCTTTTCTGAGATACCAGGCTCAAATAATTTTATTATTTTCAGTGCTATGCTCTCTTTTTTTCTACCCAAGTGAAGACAGAGGGTTCTACCATTCTCTGCAGATGCTTTTGACTCTGGAAATTTTACAAATATGGCTTTAAATTTCTGCTCAGCCATTCCAGATGAAAAACTACACCAAACATGTATCTCACAATTTTTGTAAAAGTCAGAATAGAGACAGGAGCATTAAGAAATAGGGATTATAGAAATGGAATTAGAGAATTGCTAAGAGGTTAAATTTCTGCCCACTGGGCAGTTGTATACCTTGTGTCTACAAGAATGTTACATCCAGCCATATAACCCAGATGATAACAGTTATTTTCACTAGCTGTTATACACTTGTGTATCAACCTAACTTTAATTTGCAGTTATTAGAAAGCAGAATTCTAAATTAAATTAAATAATAAATGAAATTAAGTAGCTTCAAAAGAGTTTTGGTGGACACAGTTTACTTTGCCGAAAAAGACAAAAATGTCTGCTTTGCACAATCCTAAAGAGGAAGAGGATAAAAACTTCCAGCAAAACTTTTCACTCAGAAAGGAGAAAACAGTCCTTTCAGGTGAGAACTGAAAAAATGGCATATATACATTCATAACATATTTGGTGTTTTTTAGTATTTTAATTTCTGAGTCTTCAAGTTCTTGAGCTTTTCAAGTAAAGCTGAGCGTTAATGAGGAAAGGGTGGTAAGTATATTAATGACATTGTCCTTGACTGATGTGCAGCCATACCAAGGAGCTGTGGGACACAGCCTGCATAACAGCTTCCCTGCAGAGTGCTGTGAGATCAGCTCCCACATACCCAGGTGTCATCTCTGCCAGCTGAGCCAAATCAACGTCTGCAGAAATGGGCATATTAGACGTAAGCAACTGCAGGATGGATCTTCTTTGTGTGACTGTTGGGGTCCCAATAATAACCTAAACCAAATATAATAAACAAAAAATTTAAGTAGATATTGTGCTATATTTATCTTATTTTGTAGAGCTTTCATCTCTGTTTTATATTGGTTACTAAAGATTTATATAGACTTATAATTCAACTAAATATTGCTACAAGAAACCTATTAGCAGCACTATACAAATGACAAATATTTAAAATACCACTTAATTTCCAAATGAACAGTGTTTGTACAAACAGTTGTTCATAAGACACTGTCAGCTAGTGTCTACTAAGTCCCATTTTCAGGTAATTTCAACATAACATTGAAATAATAATTTCCTTGCATCACAAGGACTAAATTAGATTCATATGATAGGGAAAAATAAATCAATGAGATAAACACTCATATGTTATTAAAACCCTGGTGAAACACCTTCATAAAAATATATCTCAACCATCCATAAATCCTAGAAAATAATGAAAATTACAATTATGAAAGCATTAAAGATCTTGACTAAACTGGATGATCCAGGAGTGGGTTTAGCCAGAAAAATAAAAAACACAAGCAAAAGAACTGTAAGTTGCACAACTGTGGTTTTTTTCTTTTGGCTACTAGGCTAACAGAAGCTTTCCAGAACAGACTCAACCTGTTACTGAAATCTGAATAGAATTTTTGAGACAAGAGGTTACTAGTTCTCTGTCACAATAAACCTTTAAGGAGAGATGCATTAATCTTCAATCTAGAATTTAAATGAAAAAAACCTAAGCCTATAAAGCTAAGCATCTGGAAGCAAACAAACCCCTAAAGGACAGGTAAAGATAAAGAAGCATAAAGAATCCCCTTGTCCATTTTCAAGTATATGGAGCTCTCAGTATCTCGAGTGAAAAAAAATCCCACCCTACCCAACTTGCAGCAAAGTAAAGAAACAGGATACCTGGCTCAAACCTGTAGAATCCCACTATGAAACACGACCAGTAGACATTAAAGTTTATTAACAGCCCCCTTCCACATCAATAAGGAAAGACAAAAGTGTGTATGAATAAGAGGATTTATTTACCTCTCTGTCAAATCTGCCAGGTCTTCTGAGTGCAGGGTCTAAGGCATCTGGCCTGTTTGTTGCTGCCACAATGACCATCTCACCCTCGCTCCTTACACCATCCAGCAGCGTCAGCAGCTGAGCAACAATCCGATCTTCAGGAACATTGTTTGAACTCCCTCGCTTCGGGCACAAAGAATCAATTTCATCAAAGAAGAGAATGGTTGGGCCTTCTTGGGACATTTCTCTGCCCTTTTCGAAGACTCTCCGCAAATTCTCTTCACCTTCTCCTGGCCTCGAGCCATGGAGGGCTGGGCCACTGATGCCAAACAGAAACGCACCCACCTCTTCTGCTACTGCCTTCACCATAAGAGTTTTCCCTACACCCGGGGGCCCAATTAACAGCACTCCATTAGGGACAGAAAGCCCCAGGTTCTTAAAAGTTTTTGGAAAGCGCAAAGGCAGATCGATCATTTCTTTCAAAGACTTCCCCACGTCATCTAGTCCTGCAACTGAAGTTTTTGCGATGCCTTCTGACAAATGTCTGTACCATTCTAAAGTGATCACTTCCTTAATTTTTATGCTTGTTTGGGGGGTTATCAATCCAGCTTCCTCCACCAAAGAGTCTGCAGACAGTATTTCAATATACACCACGGGATTTTCGGGACTTGGGGCAACAGTAACAACGTAACGAGGCAAAACATAAACATTTCTCAACAGTTCTCTGATCGTCTCCTGCAACACCGCTCTGGGAGTCGACTTCTTCAGCGCGGCGCTCCTGAGGACCACTCTGACCGCCGCCTTCCCCAGCTGCCGGTGGGGCAGCGGCTCCAGCTGCCGCACATCCAGCGAGAGCCCGCGCAGGGCCGGCGGGGCCAGGCCCGCGGTGCTGCAGGTCAGGTCGGCCTGCAGGAACCCGTCGGCCAGGTCGTGCCGGGGCCACGCCGTGCACACACAGCACCCGCCGGGCAGCGAGATCCTCAGCGGGGCGCCGAGCCGGGCCCCCAGCCAGGACAGCGCGGCGGGTCCCAGCCGGCAGCGCTGCGTGCCCTCATCTCCCGGGTCCGGTGGAAGCAGCTTCAGGGCCGTCGGCTCCATCGCTCCCTCCGCGGGCGAGGGCAGCGACCGCCCTGCTCCGCGCGGGCCCGCCCGGCTGCTTACTCACCGCGCCTCGCCGTCCCGCGGGGCTCCTGCTCCGCCGTCACCGCCAGGGACACCGCGGCCCCCCGACATTCCCGCCCCGGGATGGGACAGCCAGGAATGTTCCGGCCGGGATGGAGCGGACCCGCTCCCGCGCTGACAGGCGGCCCCGCGCATGCGCCACAGCGGAGCACGCGCGCGGGGCCCCGCCTCAGCCAACAGGGAATCGGAGAAGTAACTGTGTTAGAGAGGGAGCTCGCTGTGCCGCGGCCAGTCTTTCCTTCAACACCTGCAGGGACGGTCGCTCCACCACCTCCATGGGCAGCCCATTCCAGTGTTTGGCCACCCGTCCTGTGGAGAAATTCTTCCAAATGTCCAACCTAAACCGCCCCTAACGCAGGGGCCAACCGCCTCTAATGTCCTCTTACCCTGTCACTTGTTGCCTGGGAGAACAGCTCGACTCCCACCTGGCTACAACCTCCTTTCAGGGAACTGTAGAGAGGGATAAGGTCCCAGCTCAGCCTCCATTTCTCCAGGATAAACATCCCCAGCTCCCTCAGCTGCTACTCATTGGATTTGCACGCAAAACCCTTCACCGTCTTCGTTGCCCTTCCTGAGTTGAGGGGCCCAGAACTGGACACTACTCCATGTCCGCCACCTCCCTCACGTCCTGCCTCAGCTGCCTCCCTGGGCCTTCCCTTTTGAAGGGCTGTCAAAGCACTGCCTGTGAGGTGAATGTGTCCTAGAGACTTCTCATACCTTTATTCCACAGACGAAATGGACTGGCCCCCTTTTCCCATTGCCACTTGGCTTGTTCTCCACAGAGCTGGTCATGGCAGGGATCACTCACTGCCCTCATTTCGTCACCCTCATTTCGTCTCCTCAGCACCTCCTGCCTGTTGGTTTGGTGCTTCTTAAACATGTTCCCAAAAGTTGGGCTTCCACTTTCCCGTGACCCTGCCAAGAGCTTCCCTTGGCTCAGGGCAGCATCTTTGTCACCAGTGGTCAGGGTTGAGTCAACTGTGGGTGCTGGTTAAAGAAATATGTGTGAAGCCACACAACTGACTCGAGAAGCTGCTGCTACAAGTAATTAAGACACAGATATTTATTCAACAATTGGTAAAACTGTTGTAGTATGTTGCTCTGACAAATACTTAATCAGCATTTAAGAAAAATAATTGTATAAAGTTTTGGTCCATCACCACCTTCCTAAATTGTGCTGGGAATTGTGCAGTACTTTTATAAAAACCTTCCAGGAGGTTTGTCAGCATTGTGGGATACAAGATAAAATTGTGATCTATAAAATTTAGTATGTGCATAATTTTATTCTTGCAAGTAGCTTCATTTTAAGCAAAGTCACACAAGTACCAAATACATACAGACTTTATTTGAGACCACATACGTACAAGAATTGGGATCTCAAATGCAAGAGGCCAGTCAGACATAATTATATTCACAGAAAACCAGATAAAGTGGTTTACAGCACAACTACCATATTTCCTGCATGTATTCTGAAGGCCTCAGCAGGCAAAGCATAAGAAAACCTTTATGATGGTGGCCTGATTAATCACATTCCTTACTGAACCAAGGGCTGTACACAAAATATGTCAGTAACCCATAAATAAAAGCAGGCAGTGTTAACAGAGCCATTTCAGATAATTTGAAATGTTGAATAGAACACAGAACGACCTAGGGCCGAGCAGTGTGGAAACCAGCAAGCCTTCTCTTTAAGCCCAATTATGTGCAAAAGGGCCTATGAGATATTTCCTTTCAATTCATGACCAACTTTTCTCCTTGCAGTGTTTATTTTCTAGTCCTTTACTCCTGGATATCAACTTAATATTTGTTTTCATAGCATGGTTTTACACTGCACACATATGCAAATGTTTATGTGGAATATGCCTATGTGGAATATGTAGACTTATTAGGTACTTAGTGTGGGACATACTAATGTTTGTCCAGAGAATGTGCAGACAAAAGATTATAAGGAGCTTTCATTCCAAGAAGGCAAATGTATTTTCAAGCCAATGTCTTATAAACACATTCTCTTGTTTTATTTCTTTCCGTCAAAGGTTCTCGTAAACACGAGTGCCCTCAAGTACGTACTCGATTAAACAAAAAACATACTCTGTTTAAAATGGCAGATTTGTGTTTCAAAGTTTCAAACTGTAAGTGTAGACTCTCTGCTTGGTTTTAAAAAGTTGTGTTTAGGAAAGAAAAGTATGGAAAAGTACATATTTGCTATGAGGTCAGTGGTCTATATTCATGTATGGTTGTTCTCTGTAACAGACTTATTGTAACATCTGGAAAATCTGATTTCTTATGAGAAGGGAAAAACCTGCAAATCTAATCTTGAGTAACAAAGAATTCCAAATAATAGTTGTTAGAATTATTGGTTTGAGCGTCTGTTGGCTTTAGTGAGGAGAACTTTAGGTCTTCTTGGATCAGTTTAGATGGTAAAAGAGGGAGTTCCACCCTTTATCAACTTATTTATACAACTCCTCTGCTTCCTTTTAATAAGAAAAGCATCAGTATAGCAAAGATATTGTCTGAAGTATCAAGGGAATACTTCTTGTTTCATGAAAATGTTAAGCTGGAATGAAGTACTAATTCATGAAACACAGTGGTCTTATCTTACATAGGAAATTTGACAGTGTAAATGTACACTGTTGATATTTTTGGGTTTATTCTAGTTATCTATAAATTAGTAAGAGTAAAATATACATATAAAAATAACATGGTTGTTGTCCAGCATAAAAACTATGATATTGTTGCTGGATGAGCACATTTCAGTGAATTTTAACTTAAACTTCTTTGATTTTTTTACTGTAGTCTGTTGTTGTAATACTGATTATGTTACTTTAAGACACTGTTAGTTCAGTTCCTTTTAGTATAATGATGTGGAGCCCCCAAAACACTGATATGTTCTATTGAAAGTGCACAGGATTGGCTTTTTTTGAGCAAACTGTGGGATCAAGACCTTATTTATTTATAATTTAATAGAAAACTTTGCTGAGTGACATTGCTCTGCTTTGGAATGCATACCTTTTAATAGCCATTCTCCTGAATAATTTACAGACCCCAGAATTTACAATGACAAAGTGGCAAAAGGTTATTCCACCAGGAATCTGGTTTAAATTGACAAAAAAAATGAAAGTAATGTTTTAAACAGTTCTCTCACCGTTCACTAGATGGCAGCTGATCTTCAAGAATGGCTTTCTTTTCTCCTTTCAGATCTGATAATGTGGAGGGAGTAGTCATCAGTTCTTGGAGAAAATATTGTCTGGCATTGTCTTCACTCCATCTCTAATATGAAACTGAAACACCAGAACAGTGAGTGTTCAGATTATTTTCAGCTTCATTACTGTTTGAGCTTTTTCTTGTTGGGCTTGTTGCAGTTTATTTCTGGGGAAGAATGTTCCATTTTTTGCTTTCATATTTAGTGAGCCAGATTATCTTCTTTTCAAGCAGAATGTACAATACTCTGATAATATTCTAAAAATAAAGATTAATATTTCTGATTTTCTTTTTTATATGTGTATTGGGTTGTCATAGAATAATGTTCAAAATTCCCAGTTATTATAACTCACAAAATAAAAATAACTATGTCTTGTTACAATAATTCCCTGCATACAAAGTAAAGAAGGTATTAAGCTGATTATATTTTTGGTAAGTTTGACTATATCTAGTATCAGAACTGAAAATTTTATTTAAAATGGTCTAATTAAGAGTGTCTTTAACATAGGTTTTTTTCATGGTAGGTGGATTTGAAAATGTGGTATGATTGTCTATTAATCAAATAAAGATAGTTCAAAGTGAGTAGATGGCATGTAGATACTTTAGGGCAGGATTTTAATATTTGGGGAGGTTCTTTGACTAAGTATAAATGCTGTATTGTACTCATGCACATTTCAAACACCAGGCTTTGTTATAACAAAACTTCATAAGGAAATTGTAAAGACGTGCTCAGAAAAGGAGTGGAAAGAGCTTTTGCATGTCTGCATGTCTTTATGGAAGGGCCACCCTCACTGTGTTTACTTAATTTTCTAGTGAGCATCCAGTCTTGTATCTTTACAGGGAAAAAATTCCCATTGCAGTTCGTAGGAATTTTGGATGGGAAGGCATTTGAGGTTGGGCCCACCCCTTGAGAGTGTGACACCAAGCTGTGGTGAAGCTACTGCACCTTAGATAGATACCTGATGCTGCATCTCTGCTGGAAATCACTGCCATCCCAGCCCAGGCATCAGAAGGAATGTGTGCCTGCCCCTGAAGTCTCCAATGGAAACTCAGTTGTCTCAGCTTAAGTTGCCAAGGAAAGGATTTTGTGTTAAGACACCACATTTTTTTGGAGAGTGATTGGAGTCCCAACTGCTCATTCCATTCTCTTGACACTTTGGGGTGGAAGCCTTTCCAGGAGGGGAAAATAGAGGGCACAGATAGTTAATAAAGACACATTTTTCAGTCTGTCAATATTTGTCTTTAGTACCTTTTGACTATTACTTAGGGATGCTGGGTTATCTGTTTTAGCATAACAGATAATCCAGTGGTTCACTAAATCTTATTTTGGATGTGGAATAGTGAGATCCTTGTGTGGTATTCAATGTAGGAATGAGGTGATGAGTATTATAGAAGGACCATTCAAACTGGAGGGACTTAGCAGTAAAATGGGAGATGAAATTCAGTATAAATGAGAAGTGCTGCACAAAGAGAATAGTGACTAAAGAGAAGGGTCACTTTTATAGCATCAGGATAGATGATTCCATGAAAATGTCAGCTCAGTGCTTGATGTGCAAAAAGCAGATCAAATGTTAGCATTAATTAAAGAAACAGAGAGCAGAACAAAAACTATCTCAGTCCCATTGTGTAAGTTTGTGGTACCCCTGTACTTTAGATGTTGTGTGTGCTTCTAATCCCTCCTCAAAAATATGTAATAGAACTGGGGAAGGTTCAGAGAGGGCAGCAGGAATGATCAGAGGTATGGAACAGCTTCAGTGCAAGGAATGACTAAAAGTAGGC